GCGATAGTACGAGAGGAACCGCAAGTTCTGACATTTGGTTGACGCACTTACTTAAGCGGGTAATAGTGCGAACTATCTATGGGACTAAACGCCTCTAAGGCCGTATCCTTTCTGGTCAAAGGTGGCAACCATATCTCTTGAAGTTACAATGGACTCAGAACAATGTGACTTTATAGTTCGCTACGATTGTCGCACGAGCCCCTATTTCCGTTGAGATTATCGGTTTATTTTATCGATCCTTTCCAGTAGACCAGATCTTTAGACGGACGAACATGGGTATTATAATCTTTTCGATGTTGAAAGTCGGAATTGTCTGTAGTCTGTATTGTCTGACCGGCCTAACTCAGACAGAGCTTTGAATATGCTTTTCGCTTTTCGGAATTTTTTTGATTTAATCAATTTTTTTAATTATTCTCTTTTTAGTACTTTGAAATACTACCTACAAGATTAAGGAGAATAAGATTTCTATTGTTTATTTTCTAAATATTTTCTGTCTAAATTATCACACATTTCTTTCTGTCTCCACAGACAAATATTAAAATTCTTAATGCAATATGGAAGTTCTTCAAATTCGGCTGAGCAATCCAAGTCTAGGTGTCGAAATAAGAACGTGATATTTTTATGTACGTTTTCGGTCTTAATTAATATGTAGACAACAAAAAGAACGTGATATTTGCCATGAATTTTAAAGAGATCCGTGAGCGTTAATGTATCCTTAAAATGGATTTTTGGGTAAAAGCAGTGAAATAAAACTGTACCAACATAATTAATTTACAATTAAATAAATATTTATTCCTTGTTTAGTTAGGTAGTTGCATAGAAATATTATTTTAGAAAGGCAAAAGATTTGAAATAAATAAAATCAGTTTAACCCTAATTCGTACAAACCTCAATACCCCATTAATCATGAATATATATATATATATATATATATATATATATATATTTCAACATAAAGCTAAAATTATAACTATTACAAAAAATTAATATTAAACTTAACAGGCTTCCGGGTTGAACTACGTCGATGGTCACTGTCCCAAGTTTTCGACATATTCTCTGATGTCTTCTTTAGGGCTTCCGAGGTCTTCGTCTCTCGGGTCCCAAGATACTACTACAGTAATCAACAATAATCAATGCATTACTTAGCAGTAATTAATACTTTTCTTATAATAATGCCGTAATACCTACCCAAACCATAACATTTCCATCGGCGAAGGGAAGTAAACCGACTCTGATTTCGTCTGAAAAATCACAAAATTATAAAACTATTGAGGAAGCTGTATGTTCTTGAGCCCAATGGGGGCGGTGCAAACGATGTGTAGGTTATAGCTGAGGAACTCTGACTCCTGCAGAATGCCTGAAGTCTCTTTGGAGGGCTGGTGCAAACATAGAAGAATTTCTCCGTAGAAAAATTCTGATATTTTATCATATTCTATTCTGTTGCTCATTGATAACGCTGGGTGTACCAGAGCGACCACTATTTTGTATCGAATTTGTCTCCAGAAGCCTATTCCATATCTGTGAGACATTATTATGAGAAACAGCCACGGTTTTTCCAGCGAATCGCTGTAAATACCCTTCTTTAATAAAAGATTATTGCACCATCCAACTCAGAAATTAAATTTCGATTCATTATAATTTACGTTTTTGATGATATCGTTATAATGAGTAGAAGTATGGGAGGCAAATGCGGTGTTTTAGAAAGTTTATGAACGTAACAAGTGAAATATGATTGTTCTAAACGAGGAAAAAACCAAATATATTATTTTAGTTGCTTAAAACCCCCAGAATGTTCAACAGAGAATCCAAATTACCAACTATACCTTTGAGCAAGTGAAAGAATTCATATATCTTGGATCGCTAGTAAAAACACGAAAAGCAATGAAGTAAAAAGAGCATAGCAATAGCAAACAGAACTCTCCATGGTATGCAGAAATATCAAAGAAATAAAAATCTAAAAGTGTAGTAAAACTTAACATTTACAATATCTTAATAAAACCTGCTTTGATTATGAACTTTGTCCCAAAATCATGAGAGACTATTTGGTATTTTTAAGGGAAAAATACTTTGAAAGATTTTTCTTTTTATTCCTCTTTATGAGCAGGCTATTTTAGGCGGTCTTCCGATACTTCTTTTGCCGATTGGTGACTTCTTTCCTACAATTTCGACGACACGGATCTCCTCCATTCTGCTTATGTGTTTATTCCATTCGTTTTTTCCATTTTGTGTTCATTGATTTTTACATACTGTATGTTATATTTTCTTCTAATGTCTTCACTTTTTTTTCGATTTCTCAACGTGTTTTCTGAGGCATATGTCATTATTGTTCCTACACTGGCTTTGTAAATTCTTGACTTCATTAATAACTATTAAACTGGGAATATAAATAATATTAAAAAATAAATATAAAGAATAATAAAAACTTCAGAACAATATTCTTGACTTCATCTTAGTATTAATGTGTCTAATGTATCTAATCGAAAGATTTTTGAAGCCATAAATGAAAATGGGTCCTAACGTCGAAGATACACCTTTGACATGTACCAGCTATACACAGATCCACATATTGTGAAATAAGTTAAGGTGCATGAGCTCAGATGAGCTAGAAATATTGCTAGGATGTAAGATAATGAGTACACCAAGAGATTAACATTCTCAAACCCAGAGGCTAAAGAAAGTAGATGACTATTGTGAAGAATATGGATTGTTGATATAAAAGAAGACTTTAAAATTCTAGTGATGAGAAGACGGAGTCAAGTTTCTAGGAATCAACTGGAGCAGCGATTTCTCTGCTAGAAAACAAAGATCCATAAAGAATTGTCAAACTAATTATAATAATGATGAGCTTTCTGGGATGAACGGATTTTTCTCTTAGAGGGTGTGAGAACCATATAACATTAAACCTGGATTTTAAAATAAAACTGTTGTATATTTGATGTGGCTAGTGGTAACAAAAATACTCAAAACAGAAAGGAAGACAAATCATGAATGTGTTGCTTGTGTGAGTCCATTTCAAATTAGTAAAGAAATAATAAATAAGACTTACTCACAATCAATTTAATTTAACTATCAGACGACCGGTTTCGCTTTCTACAATATGCAAAGCATCTTCAGGTCTCGATACAAAGTTTTGCATTTTTTTAACTTTGTATCGAGACCTGAAGATGCTTTGCATATTGTAGAAAGCGAAACCGGTCGTCTGATAGTTAAATTAAATTGATTGTAAGTCTTATTTATTATTTATTTACCTATTAGAAAGGAAGACCTTCTGAAGACTTCTGAAGAAGTTGGTATTTCAGCAAACTTTAGTTGATATATTGAACATATGAACATATTCTATGGAAATTGAGAATATTTTGTTTTAATATATTATTATATTAATAAAAAAAATTAATTAGCAACTTCTTCTTCATGTGCCTTGTCCATTCCGAACGTTAGCAATCAACATGGCTATTCTGACTTTTTTTACAGCAGATCTGAATAGTTCAGCAGATGACAATCCGAACCATTGCCGCAAGTTTTGGAGCCACGAGTGTCTTCTCCTCGATCAGCTGTAGTACTCTATATTTATTATGTCTCATAACGTGACCCAAGTGTTCCAACTTTCTTTTCTTTATACTTATTTCTACCTCTCTCTCTTTACCTATCCGGCGTAGTATCTCTTCGTTTGTCACGTGCTCAGTCCAGGATATATGTAGTATACGTCGGTAAGCCCACATTTCGAAGGCCTCTACTTTTTTCATCAATGTTGCGGTCATTGTCCACGCCTCCATTCCATATAACAAAACCAGGAATACATAACATTTCAGAAGTCGAATTTTGATAGGTAGGGTGAGGCTTTTAAAAATGAAAATTTGCTTCATGCTAGTGAACGATGCTCTTGCCTTTTCTACTCTTATAGGTATTTCCTTCGCTTGATCCCAATTTGAGTTAACTGTTGTTCCCAAGTAGATGTACGAATCCACGTGTTCAATTATTTCATTGTCTAATATCATTTGCTGTGGTGGTTGTTGGGTTTTGCTTACTAACATCCATTTGGTTTTTGTGATATTTAGTCTGAGTCCGTATTGTGCACTTGTTTTTTGTATCTTACTCATTAGGCAACTCAGTTTCTCCATGCTACTTGCTAGAATCACAGTGTCATCAGCATACCTAATGTTATTAATTATTTCTCCATTTATCTTTATGCCTTCTGTGCTTTCCTCCAGCGCTATCTCAAACACTTCTTCTGAGTATATATTAAAGAGAATAGGAGACAAGATACAGCCCTGTCGTACCCCTTTCTTGATCTCAATTTTATTGGTCAATGTAGATTCTACTTTCACTTTAGCTGTTTGACCCCAATAGAGACTTGCTATTGTTCGAATGTCTCTGTAGTCGACTCCGATCTTATGGAGAACTTCAATTATCTTTTCGTGCTTTACGTTATCGAATGCTTTTGCGTAGCCTATAGAGCATATGTACACGTCTTTGTTCATATCTTTGCAGCGCTGGATGAGTACCTGTAGACTAAAAAGTGCTTCTCTTGTCCCAAGAGAATTCCGAAACCCTGGTGTAACCTTGGTGTATGCCTTCGAAATGTGGTTAATTAGACTTATCATCCGATGTTGATCACAAGACTTTGCTTTTGGTTTATTCGGTATGGCAACAAAAGTTGACTCTAGCCAGTCTTCAGGAAACTCCCTGCTGTTATAAATATTGTTAAAGAGTCTGACGAGTGAGTCTAGAAATTGACTGTTTGTTTCGCACAGCGTTTTCAATACTTCCCCGTATACGTTATCGTTGCCTGATCGTTACTATCGTTCCCGAAAGTTACCCTCCAAAGAATTGTATTCTTAGCGTCGTTATACAAACTCTATATATATATATATATATATATATATATATATATATATATATATATATATATATATATATATATATAATATTATATATAAAGAATGATTTTGATTATATCTTGTTCAATAATAACATGTATTAATTTTACCATTTATTTTCAGTATTCGCATTTGGTAGAAGCTATAGTGTTCTATTTATCGCAAGAGCCCTACAGGGTGTTGGTTCTTCTTGTTCGAGCGTATCTGGTATGGGCATGTTAGCAGAACGATATCCGGATGACAAGGAGCGAGGCAACGCCATGGGTATTGCATTGGGTGGACTGGCGCTTGGAGTGCTGATTGGACCGCCGTTCGGTGGGGTCATGTATGAATTTGTGGGGAAATCAGCACCGTTTTTGATACTTTCTGCTCTAGCGTTAGGAGACGGACGTAAGTAATTATATCATAATATATACAGTTGCTTATTTTATGAAAAAACTTGAGTATGTGCTACTATACAATCTTTTGATAAACAAAAATAGGAAGCAAAGTGTTTAATATGTCACAGCGTGTACTACAATGACTTTAACACGTCAATCTTAAAGAGAGTTTTCAAGGCCATATGAGATTTTTTTATAACAATCGTGAGATTTACGAAAATAAAGATAAACACGTCAACAGGCAAAAGTGATTGAAATTTGTTTAAATACTTTTTTAAAAATTGCAAAAAATAACATTTTTCGTTGCAAAAATTGCCTTTTCGATCAATTTATTGAATGACGAAGAAACAATCTAAGATGTCAAAAACTTTGGTAAAGTATAAAGAAATTGATAGAAATTATGATCAACACGTGAACAGGCAAAAGTGGTTCGAATTTGTTTAAATAAATAGTTTTTTTAAGGAAGTACAAATATTTACAAAAATTGCCTTTTCGAACAATTTATTGAATGACGGAGAAACAATCTAAGATGTCAAAAATTTTGGTAAAGTATGGAGAAACTGATAGAACCGTGAATCAGAATCCAGATCCTAGTTATATAGTGAGAGAATCTTCAGTTTTAAGAACGCAAGTGAAAACCATTGTGAGGTCAAAAAAAGCAGTAGGGGAGAGGCTGGTACAGTGGCCTTCTTTCGAGTAAATTCAAGATAGTTTTTAATATAAATCATAATATATTAATGAGTATCAACTCAAACATCGTCAAAGCACTTGGTAAATTAAAAATGTATTCTGTAATCTCAAAAAAATACAGGTTATGCATTATAATTTTGTTTTTTCGAAAAATGTGGCCACTGTACCAAACTAGATGGTACAGTAGCCACAAAGGTAAGGTACAGTGGTCATTAGTTGCAATTTTTATATTTTTAATTATAATAGTTATAAAAAAGGAAAAGTAATACTAATCTTTAACAAATATAGGTAAACAAAATTTAAAGGTAAACAAATTTGCTGTTCGTTGTGTTGCTCCAGTTCTTTTTGGTTAGGTTAAAATGAGTTCAACATCTTCTTTTGTATTTGTGGCAGAGTCTGTAACTGTACGAAATGAAAATTTCGCCTTGGAAAATTTACATTGTATTCTTGACCAGAAAAAAAAAACTTCCGTAACTTGTACAGCTTAAAATTTTGAAGTTGTCTTTATTTGAAACCTCACAAACGAATCAATGTCACTGTTACTGTTATCACTAGGTATGCTTTCATTTTTCGTTGCATTACTTCTATTCGACTTCTATGAACTATCAAATTTTCTTTTTACTGTTGTCTTAGCTCTTTTCGCTTTACTTTGCCTTGATATTCTTTCTGCTGTTTCCGCATCTACTCTTTTATAAATTGGTGTATCAGTTAAAATTTCAGTAGTCTTATTTTTCCCTTATTTTTTTTAATGGAAATAAGGTAGCTTTAGGGTATGGTTGCAGTAATACAGGGGAAATAAATCGATTTTCGGGTGTGTCCTTGAAAGTTACCAAGTTACTATCGCTTCAAAAGAAACAGTTTTCTTTTAAGGTGTTATTTCCGATGGATGTTTCTGATTTGTTTCTGGTATTTTATCTGAACAAGTTAATGTTGAAGGGAACTGAATGTCTATTTGTGGTATATAGCTATTTGAATTATTTGGTTGTTGTTCTTTTTTATGTATGTTTGGCATGTCTGTTACGAGTGAAGCCATAAAATTATCGTCATAAAAATGTTATCATTTATTGGAAATACCCCAATAGCTTTAAAAGCTGATACCACATTTTTGAAACAGAAAGCAACTGGATAAGCATCGCTCAAAATCTCTGCTATGTAGTAAATTGTTATCCTCTTTCCAGGATTTTTCAATAACCAATTTTGACAAGCATGTGAGTAATATTTCTTCAGGTGATGGCTGAAGTTGATGACCAGTATGTGGCGGCAAAGTAGACACAGATTTTCTTTTACAAATTTAATAGATGCTAAAGAAACATGGCTCTTATGGTTGTCCATGATTAGTGAAATGGGAGATTCCTTTGTAGGATTAGTATGTTTGACAAAAGATATTATCCACGGTTTCAATAATTCTGCTGTTATCCATTCAGATGATGCAGCATATCCCTGGAGCCTGGAGGTGTGATTTCAACTAAAAACGGCGGAATCGAATTACCTATAGCGTTTATTGCATTGCACATGGTTACCAAAGTGCTTCTTTCATATCAAACTATATGGCCTACTTTTTTCTGTTCCTTTTTAGCTATTACTTTTCCTGTATCTTGTACAGTTGTTAGCGCTGTTTCGTCAACATTGTATACCTGACTAGGTGTTAATGCATATTTTTTATAAATCTTTTTTAAGATTACTAAAAAAATTGCAACGACTGGTCGATTAAAGCCCATTGCCTTACCTAGTGAAGTTGCTTCTGCTGATCGTAATAAAAAATTCTGAAATTAGTTTCATAAAACTTGTAAACCCAAACTTGCCTGCCATCTTGATTTCTTACCAAGATTTTTTTCCTGTTAACAATTGACAAATCATAAGCTAGTTGTCTGGCACCTTTCGGATTAAGACCATGATTGATAATTACTCAGTTCTTTTTCCTCGGTTGAAGCAAAAATTTGATTGATAACATAATTTGGGATCAATCTTGGAGCTCCCTCAAGAACATCTGAAGTCCAATCTACATTATTCTTATTTTCGTTGCACTTTTTAAAATACTTCCTAAACGTAGTGCGTGGAATGGCGTATTTTAAAGCAACAGTTTTTTGTGATAATCCACCTTCCCAAACATCATAAATCACTTTTCTCATATTTTCGTCTGTAGTTTTTCCAATACCGGGATTTTTTGGTATTTTCCATGGCATATTACTATCTGAAACAAAATTACTTTTGATATTTTTTGCAGAAAGAACAATGACCACTGCTTTTTACAAACATATGTAGCAACAGAGGCCACCACTTTTTTTGTCAAAAGCAGTGGCCATTGTTCTTGCAGAAGTGTGTGACCGTAAGTTCATTGTTTAGGAAGCATAACCTAAAATCTACTACTTTAAAGATAGATCATAATTTGTATCACCTGCAAGTTTAAATACTATACTGTATACCACAAAACATACAGAACATTTCATATGTATATTATTATTGGTTGAAAAGATGTATAAACTTACCTGCCACTTCTACACAACACACCTATCAAGAGGCTCGTATACAAAATAGTTCTGGAATCGATGGTGCAGGGGTCAAGCGTAGTAAGCGACTACTGTGACTAAAATTGTTAGCGTTTGTACTAGATGGCGTATCTATATCTATCAAACAACAAAATATTTAAAAGTGGCCACTGTACCTGACTGACCACGTTCCAGCCTCTCCCTTATATCACCCGATGAATATCTATAAGCAATGGGTCATAATTTGTCAATATGATAAGTACAAAGCACGTGGTATTCGTGTGTATCAAGGTATGAACGTACGAACATCACGTGCTTTGTATTCAACAGATATACTAGCCACTCCTGGATATTTCCAATTTATGGTTTTGTTCCAGTTTCATTTTTAACATGATAAGTGTTTAAAGGATTATTGAGAGTTAATTTACGTTTGTTGCACAAGAAGGACTCACCTAAAGACTGTATCATATTCGTATCACCAGCTCTTATTTCAATTGCAATGAAATTTTTCTTCCAGTTAATACTTTCTTGCTCCCACAGATATATAACTAACACATGGAGTAAAAAGCAACTGCATAGCTTAAAGAGCAAACGAGCTACAAAGAATATAACTAAGAAGAAAATAAATATGAAAATTTTACCAAAAGGGCAAAAAGCATACCTCATATGTGCGCTAAAAGCATATGTCAAACGGCACGCTAAGCTGCAAATTGGACGTAGACCAAAATATGATAGATGAAGTGATGAAGTTTAAATACCCGCTTCCACGTGTATTAAAAGAACAAATGAGTAGAGCAAATAAAGTTGTTAGATGTCTTATGAATACAATAAGAACACACTGAAGACTATAGAAATGAAAATTATTAGACGTATTGAAAAAATACGCTTAGAGATAGATTTAGAAGTCCAGATTTATGTCGAAGATGGTAAATAGAATTTATTAATAAATGAATTAGAACAGAAACGTGGATTAGAATGATGATACAGTCAGAATGCTCGAAGAGTAATCAAAACAACTAGAGATATACCTATATAAAATAAGAAAAAGAAAAAAGAAGAATATGTTAAGGTATTAATTAGAAATCACAAAATTCTTTCCTAAATATTTTGTTTCCATAATAATTTCTAAAAAAAAGCCTGCCAGAAAAAGTATTTGAATTTTTAAAACCCCCTTAATGTATTCTTTTCTTGATATACGAACTAAAATCGTTATTTTTTTATTTTAGTGCTTCAACTACTTATGTTGCAGCCATCCGTTATAAGACAAGAATCTGATCCACCATCCCTAAAATCTTTGGTGTCAGATCCTTACATCATTATAGCGGCAGGTAAGTCTTCTCTTATACCATAAACGTTGTCAAAACAATGTGCTATGCATAATTGACTTTTTTGAAAACCTGTAACCTTGAACCAGTGCTCATTAAGCGTGTCTATAACCATTTGATCACTGACCATAATTCGAATTTAATCTTCTATACCCTGAATTCAATAGGATTGTCGGAGCAGACATTTTGTAGTTCGTTAACACTCGGTGGTAAGCGTATATACAGATTGAACGAAATAAATTCGGAATATACGAAATATTATGCATTTCGGCTCAATTCTGCTGTAGGTGGTTGACCAACAAAAGGTTGTCAAATAATTATATTATTAAAATCCAATACTTCAGTGGGCTGCTGGATTCTAAAATTAAAAAAATTGAAAGCTACACGTAAATCTACGATTTTATTATGCTGTCAAACCACTTATAGTCCAGGAAATCAAGCATTTCACCTCGCAATTTTTTCGTCTTGCGTGGATTGACTTGAAATTTTAACAGAAGGTAGGTAATAGCCAAGGATCAAAATCTATATCGAACCAAAGTGCGCCAAAGCCTTGGGGGTGGTTGCCACCCCATCTCGGGGGTGAAAACTTTTCGAAAGTAATATTCTTCATGCAATACGGCAACATTGGTTTTTGAGGGATTGCGTAGAAGATATCAAGATATGCTTATAGAGGACGCCGAGGCATTGTGTGAAGATTTAACTGAAGTATCGGCCCCTACGGTTTACCGAATAATTCAGGGTAACAAACCTATCCAAAAACCAATCCATGCAAAAATTGTACTGGATGATAGTACGAAAAGTATAATCCGAAGAAAAATTCATGGATTTTTTTTTAGGAACGAACTGTCCACGTTAAAGGCTATTCAACGAGGAGTTGATGCAGACGCAGATGATACTTTAAATAAAATATCCATGAGAGTATTACAAAAAACTTTACATGAAATGGACTTTCGGTATGTGAAGAGAAATCGGAAAAGTTTGTTGATCGAGAAAGACGAATTAGTGATATGGCGGAGAGAATATTTGCAAAAAATTCGTGATTTTAGACGACTTCTTAAAAAAATGTATTATACGGACGAAACGTGGTTGAATGAGGGTCATACGAAATCCAAAGTATGGCAAGACTTGAATATTAAAAGTGCGCGACATGGACTTTTAACCGGCTTAAAAGCACCTTCGGGCAAAGGAAGACGTCTCATTATAATGCACATTGAAAGTGATTCCAGGTTTTTTACAAGGTGGTTTTAATGTGTTTACCTTAATCAAAACGGGCGATTATCATGAGGATATGAATTCGGATGTGTTTGGAAAGTGGTTTTCGTCTATACTGGCTCTTGTAAATCTTGGTTCGGTAATTATAATGGACAATGCACCTTATCACAGTCGTCGTATGGAAAAAATACCAACTTCTGCATCTCGAAAGGCAGATATAATAGATTGGTTAAGAAGTAAAATAATAGATTTTGATGAATCCATGATAAAGGTTCAATTACTTGATATAGTGCGCGAACATAAGAGTTCATACATCAAATTTGCAGTAGACAAAATGACATGTGAGTATGGCATCACTGTATTAAGAACTCCTCCGTATCATTGTGAATTGAATCCCATTGAACTGATATGGGCACAAATAAAAAATAAGGTAGCGCAAAAGAATACAACCTTTAAATTAAAAGATGTCAAATTATTATTAGACCAAGCCATACAAAATATAACCGCTTCCAACTAGCAGTAATGCATTAAACATACACAGAAAGAAGAAGATAAAATGTGGAACGTAGACAAGCGTGTTGATGTTCTTATCGAACCCATTATCATTACTCCAGGAGAAGACAGTAGTGATAGTGAATTAACAACAGAAAGTGATTCTACAAGAGAGCAGTGGAAGATATTCCATTGGGGAAATACAAGGCGATACAATAGTTATTAGTTGGTTTTGATGATAGGTTTTGTTTATTACAAATTATTACGAACCAGAAGTATATTCGCAACATTTCATTATTATAAGGGAAGAAAGTTTTGGATTTAAAATATAATATAATTTAGCACCTCGACACCATAAGGTACAAGAGGACGGCTTAAATAAGTAAGTAAGTAAGTCTAATTTAGCATTTGAGATGTTATAAAATAAACATGTACATATTTTCTTACACTAAAAATAATATAAATGAATGAAAATATTTATATAAATATAATAAATATATATAAATATGTCTATATCTGGCTTACACAATTAATTGTTAAGACCTAATATTTTGAATATAATATTTTTACATAACATTTTAACAAAATATATTTAACATAAATAAACAATTTGACCGTTGACGCAAAAGTATTTTTATGTGCAATTTCCCTATTATTTCCCTTATTTTAAAAATATACACGCTACCATTGAACTACACGCGTCTCTCATCTCGGACCCCTCGAGGGTCTATCATTTCTAAGCGATAACCTGACTATCCTATTGAATTCCGACTATAGGTATAGTTGTATACAGGGTCGGACTTTTATACTGATACATTTTATCAAAATTACGGCAATCTCAAAAAGTAAAAGAAAAATATAAATAAGTAGTACATAAATTTTAAACTTTGCTATCGTCTATATTTAAATCGGTATCACTATCATCGCTATCGTTTATATCTATAACTACTTTATTTATAATGTTTTGGAACTGTAAGTATTTTTCTTTTAGTTTTTTTGACACGCTCTATACATTTTTACATACTCTTCTTTCTTGCAGCTTTCCTTGCTATTCATGTTATTCTTCTTTAACCAATGTCTTCTTTAAAATCTTAAACGCACTTTAAGCAGAAAACTAGTAAAAATACATCACTCACATAGTTGCGATTATATTGTTGTATATTAATTTTTATTTTTAGGCGCGATTACCTTTGCCAACATGGGTATAGCAATGTTGGAACCTTCTCTGCCCATTTGGATGATGGATACCATGGGAGCAGGAAGATGGAAGCAAGGAGTGACTTTCCTTCCAGCAAGCATATCATACTTAATAGGAACTAACTTGTTTGGTCCGTTGGGACACAAGATGGGCAGGTGGTTGGCTGCACTACTAGGGTTGATCGTGATAGGTATATGTTTGATGCTCGTAAGTGCATATTATTTTATTTTAACCGTTTTCTTTCTCTACAATATGTTAAGATGTGAAAAAAATCCTTAAAGTGGAAGAGAAGATGTCGATGTGAAAACTGGTTAAGGACACAAAGAGATCTTCAATGAGATCATATAGGCTTTCCTAAGTTTGATCTTAAATATTTCAAGCCTCGTTATTTCTATTATTTTTTTTTTACCTGTTTATCGGTGTTTCGCTTTCATTCGCTTAGAAATGTAGGTCTTTTATTTCATCAACCGTTTTTTCCATCGCTTATTCTGTCTTCTTTATTTTTCGTTTTCTTGCAACAGTCAGTCCTGCTTTTAAGAGCTTTTGTTACATTTCTTTATTAATTGTGTTCATGTCGAAATATTCTTGTTGATAATGTTCTACAAATTATATTCTTAAGACTTTTCTTTACTCATCTCCCTTCTGTCGCATTTTAGTTTGATCTATCTGATTACAATAATTATGTGACCTGTTTAACAAGAATTCTTCTTCTTCTTAACATGCCATATACCGAAGTGCGTAGGCGACTATCTCATTACTAGAATTCTGTTCTTGGCGGCGTGACACAGCTCGCCTGTATTGTGTATTCCTGTCCATTCTTTAATATTCCTTAACCAGGATAATTGTTTGCGGCCGGCTCCTCTCCTACCTTCGATTTTTCCTTGTAGAATTAACTGTGGTATTTCATATTTTGCTCCTCTCAATATGTGCCCAAGGTAACCAATCTTGCGTTTTTTTAATTAATTCAAAGAGTTCTCTTTCCACGCCGGCTCTCTTAAGGACCTCATCGTTTCGAACTCTATCCACCCAAGGTATGCGCACCATTATTCTCAATGACCACATTTCAAATGCTTCAAGTTTGTTGATAGATGTCTTTTTCAAAGTCCACGTTTCCATGACATAAAGCAAGATGGACCATATGTAGCACTTGACCATTCTGTAGCGTATTTCGAAATTTAGGTTTTGATTACATAGGAGTGGTCTGAATTTCACAAAAGCTTATCTTGCCATTTGTATTCGGGTTTTTATCTCGTGTTGTGGATCCGATTGGTCATTTATTGTGGTGCCAAGGTGCCGTTCACCTTAATGCCTAATTCCGTGTCTTCTAATGCTTCCGCAAATATATTTTCAACATATATATTAAAAAAGCATCGGAGAGAGTACGCAGCCTTGGCGGACACCTTTCCGGATTTCAAATTCATCCGTACATCGGTCTTGATCAATCTGACCTTTGCCATTTGGTTCCAGTATAGATTCTGAATAATTCTGATCTCCTTCTGGTCAATGTTGGCTCTATGTAACTTAACAAGAATACTTGCTATTAAAATAATATTTATAAATATATATTATAAATTTTGTTGTTCTGGGAAATTATATAATTTTTCTCCTCTTTCTTTTCGATGCAACCATGCATCCCTATTTTAGTTTCAGTATTTTCTTCTCTTTTTTACCTAATATTGCGTTGAAAATCTCCCATAATGATGGCATAGTTTATATAATTTTCTTCTAATGCTGTTATCAAATCTTCGTACAACATTTCAACTACCTCTTCCTGATTTGTTGTTGTGAAGCAGACACTTGTATAACCTTGATATTGGTTTTTATTACCTAGATCTATTATAATATAAGCTACTCTATCAGAAACGCTTTTGTAGAAATGTAGAAATGTATGGTGTGAGATACTTTTTTACAAGAAATCCTACTCCACCATATGTTTCGTCTATTTTTATTATATAACATAGGCGATTCCAAAGTTTAGATGCATGCATTATTCGCTTCTTCTTTTCACTTTTGACAGCCCTACTATATCTCACTTTTTCTTGGATAGTTCTTCTTCTAATTCGTACTCCTTTTCATCTTTAGCCATCGATTGGATGTTATATATGGCGTAACTGTTTTTGTTTTTTCGTATCTATTTTGGCGCGTTTTGTTGAGCTTGTGCCTCCCCCAGAATCCGTGAGAATGACCGATTTTCCGGTGTGGGATTCTGAGCTGCTAGCTCTACCCATCTGATGTATCGCCCCATATATTTTTCAAGTTCATCATCATCATCAGTGGCGTTACAGCTCTTTATGAGCCAAAGCCTTCTTCAGAACAATCCTCCATTCGCCCTTGTCTCTGGCAACTCTTCTTCATGCTCTAATTTCGATAAACTTCAAATCATTTTTTAGGTTGTCTTGGTACCTAAGTCTCGGTCTTCCTCTTCTTCGTTGTCCGATTGGCCCTCTTCGGTCCCCATTTCTTTTGAAAGTTTACATAAGTCACTTAAAAAGTTTCAAGTTCAACATGTTGTGTTTTGAGGGGTATATTGGCATTAAAACACCACGCTTGCCGGACGGGTTGGTGAGTGTTCGCAGTATCACAGTCGGTTAAATCAGTGTTTGATTTTCGCCTGCGACTTTGTGGTACCACACCTATCAGGAATTGTATTCTTCAGCCACGGGCCACTAATGACACAGCTGCTGACCTGTGTCATGCCCTCAGTTGACCCGCGGGTACTTATTTGGCAAAGCCTTATCTTATATTAGCCATTGGGTCGTGCCTTGTCGAAGTCGAGGACTTCCCCTTCCAGTCTGTCTTACTCAAAGTACTGAAGGAGCTCTACTCAGTTCAACGTCCCTCCTCTACACAAGCTAAGACCGGCACGGTTGTTAGTTATTAGTATGTTTCAAGGTAAATGTTATTTTTTTACAATACAACTTTGTAATATCTTTAATTATTGCCAACAAATAATAAATTCTATTATCTAAAAAAGTGTATAGTCTAGCTAGGTCTAAGAAATGTTTTTAGACGCCGCCGCTGGTAAATAATTTAATCGCATATCGTTCATTTCTTTTGAAAGTTTACATAAGTCACTTAAAAAGAAATAATATAAATAAACAACGAATTCTCATGTGAACTATTTCCATTAGAAATAAATTAACATACCAGAAATTTCTTTTCCTTTTTCGCTGTAAGTACCACTGCGATTGAGACTATGTGTGTATGCCCTGGGGCTCTATATTTGTTTTCTATTTTCTCGATTGTCGAATCGCATATATCGACGGGATATTACGTTGTTTGTTTTTAGAGCATCAGTAAGATATTTTATTTAATAGTGTATTTAAATAAGTATGTACCTAATACAAAATATTCACCCAGTGGATTTAATGAATCTCCTTGACACTCTTTGTATTAACTCCAAATAAACAAATATATTTCACTTCCTACTTATACTCCTGTGATGATGGTAAATTAAATAAAGCTATAATTTTAATATACTGCAAACAAGCGGAGTCTTGGGCCAATTTAAAGTGGTTAATGATTTTAATTATCTAGGATTATACATTAGTAATTTGCTCTTGTGAAACCAAAATACGTGGGAGAATAAAAATGGCTAAAAATGCTATGAGTCGGCTATCAAAACTATGAAAAAATCGCTTTTTGTCGATGAACCTTAAAAATAGATTGATGCGTGACATAGTTTTGCCTATACTCTGTTACTACTCCTAAACATGGACAATGAAATCGGACAATAAGAAAAGAATTGCCGCCTTTGAGGTGATGCTAGAGGAAAATGCTTTGGAACTCATGGATAGATATTCTTTCAGATATATTGTTTTCAGTTATAATTTTTCTATTTACTAATACTATCAATGGATCTAATTATTAGGAATTAAATAGACTACATTTTAGTAAATAAAAGATTTCAAAACAGCTTTACATCTATCAAGACTTATCCTGGAGCAGACTTGGAAACAGATCACGTTCCACTGGTGGGAGCATTTCGAGTCAAACTCAAAAAAGTGCAGAAAATAAAAGCACAATTATAAGATTACGTATTCTGAAAAACTTTGATACGAGGATGAGAATCCCAGCCACAAGAACAAACGATCAAACATATTACAAAAATAGTGCAAAATGTAAGGATAAACACTTAAAGACATATATATTAATGAAGAAAAAATCATAGATGACAGATGAGATCCTGACTAATGGACGAGAGAAGAAGATCAGAGAAGAAGAAGAAGAAGAGAAGACGAGAGACGAAAAACGAAAATTATAGAAGCGAAAGAAAAAGAAGCAAGGGCAAGATGCGAAGAAATTAAGACTAATGCAGTCAACGTGCGATAGTCACAATGTACATAGGATAGTTAAAGAACTCACAGGGAGACTAAGATGAAGGCAAAGAGGAAATATAACTGATTCTGACGGAAACATCATCTTGGACAAACAAAGTAAAATAAGAACGTGGAAAGAATATCTAGAAAATCTAGAAAATTTAAGCTAGAAGAAAGGTAAATGATGGACCCAGAATATTACAGCAGGAAGTTTATTTTCTTTGGACATATGCGAAATGAATCCAGATATGCTCTCCTTTAAGCCATTCTGCATGGACAAATATTTGGAAAACGAGGTCCAGGAAGAAGAAGAACATCTTGATGAAAGAAACTCAGATCTGGTTCAATACAACATAATATGTGCAGCTTTTTCGCGCTGCGGCAAATAAGATAAAGATTGCTACGATGATCGCCAACGTTCATGATGGATAGGCACATCAAGAAGAAGAAGAATAGAATAACTTCATTACTTCTTTTCGGCTCTGGTTTTTTTTGCAACACCACCAAAGATCATCAAGAAATTAATAGATTCAATTAATAGTACAGTAAAAACAAGAAGGAGATTATATGTATATATAAAAGCTTTTATAGCATCTGCCGTTGCTGTAAGTTTGTTAGACTTCTCTATGTATTCACCTCCAAGTTTCAGAACTGAAACAACTACACTTTTACAAGAGTATACATTTTTTTGATTAGAAAGATGGTTAACATATTTTATTTTGTTTGTTATTTTCAGATACCTTTGGCTACAAATATTAACCATCTGATCGTCCCGAACGCAGGGCTGGGTTTCGCCATTGGCATGGTCGACAGCTCCATGATGCCTGAGTTAGGGTATTTAGTAGATATCAGACATTCAGCTGTATACGGTAGCGTCTACGCTATTGGAGACGTGGCGTTTTGTCTTGGGTTCGCCGTTGGTGAGTATATTTTCTATAATCTACGTACCTAACTGAGTTTACTACTCCTCAGTGTCAAGTGACTACTCAACACTGAGCAGTAGGCAGATTGAGACCTCAGTGTCGTTTAGCGATCCTTGTATTTATACAGAACAAGATACTGGTACGTCACGAGTGAGGGGAGTAGGCAGATTGAGGCCCCGAACTTAAACAGAACCGTATCCATCTTGAAAATGGCTCCAAAAGGGTGCCGAAACGTCGAGCATTAAATTCTCAACGCAGTTCTTTCGGAAACTCTTTTCATTTAATTGATCTTATGAAAAATATTTCTATTTCACCCACAGATATACTAGTTAGTTTTGATATTGTTTCTTTGTTTGCCAACATTCCCATCGATGAAACCATTTCCATCTTGGACTCTAAACATCAAATTCCCAAGACACGCTATCTCTTATAAAATACTGCATGTCTAATACATACTTTTCATTCCAAAATCATTTCTATCGTAAAATCAAAGGTAACTCAATGGGATCTCCCTTCTCTCCCGTAATAGCTGATATTTTTATGGAACATTTCGAAACAGCAGCCCTGTCCTCATCAAATCTCAAACCCACCTGCTAGTTACGGTATGTTGATGATACTTTTGGCATTTGGCATCATGGTAAAGACACGTTAGATCTCTTCCTCTCCCACCTGAATGGAATGCATCCTAGTATTCAATTCACGATGGAAGTTGAGTCTGAAGCGTCTCTGCTATTCCTTGATGTTCGTATTCAGAAACACTTACCTCACAGTTTTTACTATTCCGTGTACCGGAAACCCACTCATACAAACCGATATCTTAATGCCCAGTTACATCATCACCCCGTCCAACTCAATTCAGTTGTCAACACTCTCATTTCACGTTCCATAAGACTTAGCAACAACAATCATAGGTCATCCGAATCAATTTAATAAGACAAAAGCTCTTACAAAACATCTACCACAAAACCCAAATCAATAAGAGCATTCAATAACTTCTAAACCCCATTCCATCTAAGCCAAGAAACCTTGCCGCCGGATCAGCCCAAAACCTTTCTACCTTTCATTAAAGGTGTCACTGGCAAGATCAGTAGAACTCGTCTTCCTCTAAACATCAAAATTATCTTCACTACTCACTCCAAGTTGTCCAATCTCGTCAGATCCGTAAAAAACCAAATCCCTAATGAAGACCATGGTGTCTACGAGATACCTTGTTCCAGTTGCCCACGTACATACATCAGACAGACAAACCGATGAATCCATAATCGTATTTACGAACATTATATATCAGTCAAACATTCCGATACTACTTCAGCCCTAGCCCAACATCATATTCGAACAGGCCACAAAATAGATTTCAAAAAAGCAAAAAAGATCGCCTTCATCCGCTCCTTAAAATCAAGAATCATTCGTGAAGCTATCAAAATCGAAAAACGTTTTTTAAAAAAGTTTTTTAAGTTTAAAATTTAAGGTTTTGTTTTTAATACTAAAGCATGAAGAATCAAACCAAAACTGGATTTTAGGAGGCCTGTTATATAGTTTCTGCAAATAAGGTAGTACTCAAATTCTTGCAGAATATAAAATAGTAGAATATATGTTACACCTAGCTAAGATACCTACTCACAGACAGGAACAGTAACAGTCGAATCATAATTTTGAAAAACAATATCAGATTTCACTTTCAGACAACGATGGCAAGCATACATCGCTGTTCCGACAGTATAACGACATAACCGTAAAATTTTGAAAAATGACTTTGTGAAAAATATTGTGTTGGAGGGATCAAAACTGCATTTTCAACCTATTTGTAAATCGTCGTAATTACTTACGAATTTTGCTATGACCGGTGATTCCGTAAGTACAGTTATGATGATATAAAAATATATAGAAAATGCATTTTTGAACCATACAACACAATAAAGTCATTTTTCAAAATTTTACAATTATGTGTTTATACTTCTGGAACAGCTATATATTGATTTCCAAGGACGTAGAAATTCTTTATGATATCAAGCTTATCTGTACTGCAGTTCTATAAGTACTACTTAGCACAAATCTATTTTACTTTGACTTAATGAACTTTGGGGGAATGATTAGTTAGAGCACTAACATATATATTTGCACATAACCAAATATATTTGCTCTTTTTGAAGAACATTCATAATAATTATTTTATTATAAATTTGAAATATTCTTGGAACTGATGGAATATTTTAAATCTTGCAACAGCGGCATTTTTCGCCAAATCTATTGCGCACGAACCTAGGAGTAGATTCAAAATTGGAACCGTAAAAATGCGAGCGTGAACCTACTAAACCTTGAGCGGTGTTGCCAATTTCATTCCTGAAGATGTTTCTCAAATAAGGTGTTAACCATAAAATATTTACAGGAAAAAAAGGAAATAACTAGAAACCATTAAGTTTATTTTTGCTATTAGTCTGTTGTAGTAGATTGGTAAATACAATGAAAAATATAGGCAAATATCCGATTTATTTAAAGATGCGAAGAAGATATAACTTACTCTCAAAAAGATCCGCAAATCGGATTATTACACGGCGATTGGCAACATTGACTTTAGGCGGAGCTCTAGACTATGGTGCGTCCTAAAAGGAACAGATAGTTGAACGATATTTTATACAATGTCTATCACTGGGTATGGATTTATTTTGTCCAAGTTTTATATTTGTCCTCTATTTCAATTGCAGTTCAAACATATTAAATTGTATGATCCGTTTTAAATTAGTTCAATCTGTATATATATATATATATATAAAATATAATATATATATATATACAGTGTAGGTAAAATTTTAAGGTCGGTATGGTAAAATTTAACAGGATATCTAACGCAGATATAAAACATATTTCAACGATTAGACAAAGATAACAATCATATTTCCCCTTCGTCTCCCCTCCTTTTAACACTCATTCCATTGCCCATTAGTGAGACGATTAGTTTCGATCAATATTCTCTGGTTCCGATCCTAATATACCTAAAAAACTAGAGGTGGGTCATCTCGTTTTTTTAATTTTATCGGAACCGTTTTTCGTAAACTGTAAACTAGTTGATTGTTTACCAGTATTCAAATTAGCGAGTACACAAACATATTAGCTATTATCGTTTATGTGTATAAGTATTGGAAATAAAAGAACCTAACGAAGATATATTTATTGTAACTTGAAAATAAAATTAAATAATACAAAATGGTACTTAAATAGTTACATTTACATTACACATTATTAAATCGCGAATCGTCTAAATTGACATTTAAAAACATAAGTTTTTCCACTTTCTTCATGTTAATCGCGTTCTTCTTTTATTTAAAATTATACCAGATGTTAAACATGTGTTCACAAGGAAAAGATTTTGTTACAATACTACAACATTTTATGAATATAGTGGTTAAGTTACGATATACATGGCGATGGTTTTTTCACACGGTAATGGACAGTTCCAAATCTCCGTTCGAAATTGTTGTGGTGGTAATATATCATCAGACAATTACATGTCGACTTCTTTTATACCTCTCGATACAGGTGTATGTTTTAGATGAGTCATGTCCAATTAATTCATCAAAAATACACCATGGACTTAAGTCATCTTTATCAGTTTCTTTTTCTTGGACTGATTGATTTTCAAGATTTACTAAACTTTTCGTTTTCATCCGTTTTTC